AAAAAAAAAAAAAGGCTGGGCGCAGTGGCTCATGCCTGTAATCCCAGCACTTTGGGAGGCCGAGGCGGGCAGATCAAGAGGTCAGGAGATCGAGACCATCCTGGCTAACACCGTGAAACCCCATCTCTACTAAAAATACAAAAAATTTGCTGAGCGTGGTGGCGGGCACCTGTAGTCCCAGCTGCTGGGGAAGCTGAGGCAGGAGAATCGCGTGAACCCAGGAGGCGGAGCTTGCAGTGAGCCAAGATCGCACCACTGCCCTCCAGCTTGGGCGACAGAGCGAGACTCCGTCTCAAAAAAAAAAAAAGACAAAAAAAAAGTATCATGTAGATTTCAACTGAAGACAGTGACTTTCATCATCTAAATTGAGAGACAAATTTCATTGCACATCCTTCAGTGTTTCTGAAGTGCGAGCATATTTGTTAAACAGTTGCCTATTTCATCATCGTTTTAGGCTCCTCATATTTTCCTTAGGGAAATGCTACAGAGAGTTCAGGTCAGAATATTGTGTTGTAAATATTGCCACAGTAAGTGCAACCCCGGCCTTTACTGTTGGTTCAGCTCAGATGAATATGTTTCTAAAGTCATGATAAACCAACCTCATGCATTTTAAATACCTCCAGAATCACAGTCTTTTTCATGGCTCCCGTGAGGTTTTCTATTTTTTCATGTCCTCGCCTGTGACTCCTTCCTCTGGCCCAGTGGTGACCCCTTAGTGGATCCCCACATCCTACCTCTGTGAGTCTCCCCTTCATAGTCACTCAGCCCCCTTTAATAACAAGGGCTGCTGGTTCCCCCTCAAGCCAACTTCTAACAAGCTACTGGAGAAACCGTGCAAGCTTGGGCTAGTCGTTGCTTCAAAGCAATTACTGGCGGATATTTAAAGAAGAGAAACAAGACTAGTCCAGGAATCCTCCACTTCAGTTAAAACAGAAACACAAGCCAGTAATCCCAGTGGTTGGGTCAGCCTTCTAAATGAGGCTGCACCTGGAGGAGAGGAATTCGTCCTCCTGCACACATTTCTCTGAGCTAGCCGAGCCAGCATTGGAAGGAATCGCAGTGTAGACAGAGCCAAAAGGGCCCTGGGTGGCCCTTTTGCTGATGAAAGCTGAACATGGAGGGAGAGAGACTTCGTAGATATTCAGGTGCTCTTCAATAATTTTAAGGTAGGCTCTGACCCTGTCTTTTGCTACGTTATGACACCTTGGCTCTAAGAGCTGGGTTCGGAGAAAAAAGAAGCACTTATCTGCTGCTATTTCTTCACATCCAGCAATTCGATTTGTACATAGAAAAACTATTTTTCTAACCCACTATGGAAAGGAAAAAGGCATAGTAAAAATATTAGATGTTTGTGATACTGTTTCTTTTTTTTTTTTTTTTTCTGGACTCCAGATACCTTTTCTTTCAGTTGCCGAAAGTGTTTGAAGGCAACAAAAAAAAAAAAAGAAAAGAAAAGAAAATCTTCTTTCATGTTCATTCATTAGATAAGCAGCAAACCAGGTGTTTGGGAAAAGTAAATAATTAAATATTTAAATATTAACCAAATCTCTTTGAATGTATTGTAAATATTGGAACTTTATTGTCTTTTTTTTAAAGTCTTAACTTTCCATACTCGGCATCTTGAAAGAAAGTTCGTGCTACCCAATGTTTATGGGTGGGGAGCTATACTGGAGAAATGATACTTTCCTGAGGAACAAGAAAAGGAGAGAAAAGCTGAAGTCATTTTTCTTCTTCTTTTCCTTATTTGTAATTGCCTATTTTATGGTCACAGAGCTTTTGACCGGCGTATTGTAGATAGCCTTTGCATTGTGTGTTCATGTTTCTTACCTGATCTTTAAGGGCAGGCTAAGGAAATGGCCAAAGTCAGGCTTCTTTCATCTGCCATAGTTATTGATGTTTTTGATTCCAGGAACATTCAAGACAGATCACTCCTCAAAGTGTACAACAAGGATCCTGCACATGCATTTAATCACACACCAAAAACTATGAATGGAGACCTGAGGGTAAGTGTTTCTGTCCTATTTTTTATTGTATTCAGTGGGTCAAAGCATCCTTCCTCTTGCTTGTACTCCTGATGTAATCATACTCTACAGCTGAGTTTTGGGGGGTTCTCCACACTCGTCTCACCTCGTGGATCATTATTTGTTCTTGGTAGAAAAGTAAGATTTCCTGGTTATTTAGGGCAAAGGGATTAAAATAAGGCCGGGCACATCCTAATTTATCTTTAAGCAAGGAGTTATGTCCTTACTTTAAATAAATTCTGAAAATCTTCCTATCAAAGGGTCCCTGGTCCATAATACATTAACCGGCTCAGAAGATCTCTTGCATTTTTTTCCTCCAATTAAAGAAAACCTAACACACAAACAGGCAGACAGCAAGGTGCACAATTGCATGGAAAATCTATCCATATTCTTACATGAGCTCTTCCAAGTCCTAACATTCTAATACAATTTCTCACCTTCTAATTCAGGAGCTACCCTGGAAGAATTTTGTTGTTGTGCTGTCTTAAATATTATCAAATCCTCTCTGAACCATGTTGAGGGCATAATACAAAAATCTGCATGATTTGGGAACTAAAATTCTCTAGATTTAGATTGTCTCAGGAGATTATCCGAGCTTTCAAAGCACACAGGGATGTTTTTTTTTAAAAAAAAAAAAAGGAGAAACTGAAAAAGCAGATTTTAAGATCACATTAATGCAGGTCCACTAGAAAGGAATTGAGTTTCTAAAAATAATGCTACATTCCTCTGTAGCAAAACTGGGAGGTAAAAAGATTAGCTTCTCAGCTGCGCACCCCCTACACACACACACACACATTTGGAAGACACTGTGCCATTTTTTCTCATCTTTTCTACAGATTAGCACTTGGCTGGATGCTCGTTTAACTAGAAAAAAAAATAAATGATTACCTTTTATTGCCAAAGAAACCCAGACACTGTTCTGTCTTGGAGTTGCAGTGTTGTTCCTGAGTGAGGCTGTCTCTGCTTCCTGATAGCACATATTAGTTTCCTGTTGCTGCTGTAATAAATTAGGACAAATTCAGTGGCTTAAAACAACACAGATTTACTGTCTTACAGTTCTAGAGTCTGTAGACTGGAAATCTCTCTGGTCTGATATAAGGGGTCACCAACAGTTATGCATTCTTTTCCGGAAGCCTTAGGGAGAATCTTTTCTTTTTTTCCCCAACTTCTAGAGGTCACTGACATTTCTTGGTTTGCTGTCCTCTTCCTCCATCTTCAAACCCAGCAAGATAGCTTCCCTTTGATCCTGCTTCCGTGGTCCGTAGGTAGGTACCAGCACCTACGTCCACTTTTAAGGACACTTTAAGGACACTGAGCCTACCCAATCCTCCAGAAAAAGCTCCCTATTTCAAGGTCAGCTGACTGGCAACCTTGACTCTCCCTTTTCCATATAACCTGATGTAGTCACAGGTTGAGGGGACTAGAATGCAGTCATCTTTCAGGGACCAGCATTCTGCTTTCCATATGGGGTAAGTTTAGAACCAGAAAAGAAGCCAGGAGATCTAGCTGAAAGTGCTGGGAGAAGGTCTGTGTCCTTCTGGACTGGAATACGAATGACGACATTGTGGGATCAGAGCCTACACTTCTGGAGGGAAAGGCCTCTCACGTACTCAGCTGCTGTTATTTTTGTGTCAGAAATGATGTGTGACTTGAATTGAAAGCTGTGTTGCTACTTCAGAAATTCTAGGATTTTGAGGTTTATTTCTCCGGTTATACTTTATGTGTAAACCAGAGCCACATGGAGACAGATTGAGTCATGCCAGTCGTGAAGCATGGACTAAATATTACAGCACCGTTTGCCTTTTCTTACTCTGTTATTCTCTTTCTCGGAGACATTCATCAATGTCTTTGCTCTTTGAATATCTTTATTTTTTGATATGTCTAGCCTTCACACTGGAGTTCCCTGGTGCTGAGAGTTCTGTTCCTGTCGCATAGAGCCATTTCCACGCAGGTGCCCCAGAATCGCCTCTGATAATCTTGTTTGGGGCTGGAAGGACACCTGTTTTAACCCTCCAGAAGCTCTGGTACCTACCTAAGGAGCATCAGTGAGGACTGAGAGAATCAAATATTGACCGTATGAACAAAGCTGATCAGAATGCAGAGCATGTGCTACGGGTTTCTGCAGAGTGATTCTGTTCTTCCTTGAAGATGAAACCCTGCTGATCACTTTTTCTAGGTTACCCAGAGCCTACTTTAAGCTCTCATTGTGTGTGTGTGGGAAACTCAATCGTTGTCCCCAAATGAAGGGACAGTAAATGTTCACCATCTAACCAACAGACAAGCTTTTGTATTTCAATGTGGATTACTTAGAAGTGAGAAATAGAAAGCGATTTCAAAGCCAGCTAGGTGTGATCATGCCTGCAGTTTGCAACTTGGTTCCTGTTCACAGTTTGCAGACACTAAAAGGCATGGAATTCAGCTGCCCTCACCTTTTGGCTCTGCAGGTTGGAATTTTTTTTCCTTTTTTGATGAATGTGGCTGCATTGCCATTAAAGGGCAGGAAGCTTTGTTGAGCCCTGCCTCTGGAGCCCAGCTGCACAAGCAGCTGCCCATGGTGGAGAAGAGAAGCAGGGAACAGAGCAAGGATCAATTGTTGTAGACTAAACCACGCTGCAGGGTGGGGTCAGGGAACTCCATCCTCCCGTATGTTTGCAATGTGAGTATGGCCATGAAGGAATTCAACGCTAACTGCTCACACGAGTCAGTCACTGCAGTCCTGCCCCTGATGTCATTAGACCTCATTCCCCAGCCTCCAGAGACAGCCTGGCACAGACCTCCCAGCTGCCTGCTTATGACCAATAAACATGCATGTCATGAAAAACACTGGTTGGAATAAGCAGAGGGGCAACAGCAGTCACACCAGAACTCCTCAGGGGTTTCGGAGACTTTCCTTAAACAATGAATGTAATATCTTGCCTTTGAAAGAAAAGAAAATGTAAAACTCTCCATCTAAAACAGTCTTCCCAGAGCGGTTTTATGATTGGAAATGTGTTACTCAGGAAGCGTGCTAGACTAGGCCTTAGAGTGTGCGTGAAATGCATGCTTCGTGGGGAAAACGTGTATCTAGATTTTCATCTAGCATCTAGCTGAGCGTTTCTGAGGCTAGTCTGTCTAAGGAGACCTGTGGTTCTCGGCTGGAAGTCAGCACACCTGGCTCCTGTTTCTCTGCGCACCACCCTGATCTCATTTAATTGCATGGCTTTTGTTTCCTTACATCAGATAGGAGCTTTGATAATTCAGTTCCCAAGGGACTGAGCTCACCATATGGAACAGGCCCTTTTGCAAAATTTATATATGTCCTCACAGGGTTTTAAATTCACAAATGTACAACTCGAAGATGGAACCATTCCATTTCATGATTCTCAAAAAGTACACGTTTCTCCATACCACCTGTTTGTTGAAGGAACTGGACAATTCTCCTGCTTTGAGGGTGACTTGCTAGTCACCAAACCTGGTGGCTTTTTCATAGAGTGAGGGCTTCTCCACCTTCTTGTGTGCTTTAAGACAACTTTCCAAGACTCTCTGCTCTCATCGTTTTATACTCTCCCTCTTCTCTGCTTCCTTTAATTTCTCTTGCATGTCTTCGATTTTTACTTGCATATAGACAATTGCTAGATTGGCCCTACTTCTGAAATCATTCCCTAATACCCAAGGTAATTGCTGCCTCCCACTCCTCTTCTACTGACCTTTGTGTTTGACACCAGTAAGTGATCTCCTTAGAAATCATTGTTCTCCATGGCACTGCTGTGTCTAAATTCCTCATCTGCATTCACAGACACCTCAGCCTCCTTCATTCCCTAACTCTTCTTCCTCTTGCCTGTGTTCAAGTGGCTTCTCTAGTTTGGGGTTTATTTGTTTTGTTTTTATAAATTTGCTCTTTTTTATCTGAACCTTTGCACTTGTGATTCTTATCTTACCACTTGTTTGACTATTACATCGATGTGGATGACCCACGAAGCCATATCCCTAGCTCTGCCATCTCTAGAATTCAAGACCCAAATGTTCAGCTTCTAAGTGTCTTCACATGGAGATTATTTCCACAGTTTCCAATCCTTTCTGTTGAAGAAAAAATTCCTAATATTTCTCCCACTCAAGTCTTTATCCTTCTTGATTACCTTTTGAAGAATGGAGGGGTTATGATGGGGTGTGTGTATGTGTGTGCACATGCATGTGTGCCTGTATGTGTATGCATGCATATTTTGGGGAATGTGGAAGAAGGGATGTAAAACATTGAATTGTCAATGATTCTTCTCTTGCCTGACCTTTGTTCTTCCAACGCATTCACCTGGTCACCAGAGCTCATCCACTCCCTTCTGCAAGGTCTCTAACAGATGAACCTTCTGCCACTGCCTGTACCAGTATTCTTACAATAGCTAACCTATTTGAGCATTTATTAAGCACTTTTGTGGGAATTTTTTTTTTTTTTTTTTGAGAGGGAGTCTCGCTGTGCCGTCCAGGCTGGAGTGCGGTGGTGTGATCTTTGCTCATTGCAACCTCTGCCTCCTGGGTTCAAGCAATTCTCCCACCTCAGCCTACTGAGTAGCTGGGATTACAGGCATGTGCCACCACGCCCAGCTAATTTTGTATTTGTTTGAGTAAAGACGGGGTTTCTCCATGTTGGTCAGGCTAGTCTCAAACTCCTGACTTCAGGTGATCCGTCTGCCTCGGCCTCCCAAAGTGCTGGGATTACAGGCATGGACCACCACGCCTGGTCAGTAATTTTAGTTATTTAATCCTCAAGATAAACTTTTGAGACAGGTCTTGGTATAAGTCCCCCTATTTACAGATGATGAGACAGCTCCTTGTGTTAAGAGATTTTCCCAAGGCCACACAGCCAGAGAGTAGCAGAGATTTAAACCCAGGCACTGTGGCTGCTGAAATTACAACCTTCATTGTTTACCTACTGAATCACCTAACAGTTCTTACTTCCCACATCTCATTCTCCTGTTTTCTTTTTCCAAGTGTCTCAAATTCACTCTCCC